TGCATCAGCTTCATGCATGGGGAGGGAAACATTATCCAACAGTGATGTTAATTTAGTTAGGATCCTTTTGTCTCCCATCTCCTGCACTGAGTCCAGAGGGCATCCATAGAGCTGGCCTGCCTGATCAGCTTATCCCTCAGATACTGAGGTTTTAGGTCGTTACTTGGAAAAATATGAAACTGAATAGTTTTCAAAGCACTTTGTGTTTGTGTTTATAGTTATAAATGTTCTTTTTTTATGTTATTCTTGTTGCTGACAAGAAAATCCGACAACTTGTTGGATTTTCTAATTTTACTTGTGTTTTCTCAAGTCAGTATTTGTTGTAGGTGTTTCCCTGCTGCTTCTGGTATTTCACATACATTCACACCAGAAGCCAACACATAGTGAGGAACCAGCAACCCTTTAGCCTCCAAACATAACATAACAAAAAAAAAGTTTTCATAGATGATCTAAGCTAGTATTACTGAGAGGTGTTAGAGGAGTTTAGGCACCTTAAATGGATTTTTCATTTATTACCACAAAGCCTACATCTGTTTCCAAATACATCATCAAAAAGTTTTTTTTTTTTTGTACAAAGAGTTTTTACGTTCAGCAAATCATCAAGATTTTACATTTTATTTTGTATTTATTTTCTTCTTTGATGATGAAGGAAAAAAATCCTTTCAATCTACTTTCTAACCCCCCTTACCACCACCATTTACAAAATATAACTTTAAAGATTTTTTTATTTTTGTGAAAAAAAAACTGGGGAAAAAAAGCAGAAAACTTGTACAATCGTTCACTTCCCTGTAAATAACTTCATAGCCAACATTTTGCCTTTAGGAGATAGACAATTGTTAATCAATGTGCAGCACTTAGTACCAAGCTCACACTGAGCCTGCTTCCGCTGGAGGTTTCTTCCTGTTAAAAGGGAGTTTTCCTCTCCACTGTCACTACAAGCATGCTTGACGTGATGGAGTGCCTTCAAGTCAATGAGTCGATGCAGTCAGCTGGTTTTCCTAGAAAACTTTGAACCAGTCTGACTGTATGATCTGGTTGAACTGTCTCTGCAAAGTGCCTTGAGATCGCTATTGATGAATGGATTGAAATTGTTTACCAGATTTATGTGATGGAAAGGATCTGTTTTTCCCTCCAATTAGAAAAAGAAAAGTTTTATAAGATTTGGTCCAAATGGACTGAGTACGTGAAACCAATTAGATCAGACTTCATTTGATTGTTATTCTGAAACATGTCTTGCCCTCTAATGTCTTTGTGGTTTTTATTACTTGAGGTGGTGCAATCCCCATTACTGTTTAATTCTGTTCATTTTTTGTTATCTTTACAACTAAGTTAGTGATATTCTGTTAAAAAAACCAGAAAGGCAACATGGACAAAATCACTTGGACATTCTGCCTATATCTTTAGTTATAATCTTGAATGCATGAAGCTGTGATTACTGACGTAATGGAAATCTGTCTTTCTAAATAAAAAAATATTTAAAAAAAAAGTGCCTTGAGATGACATGTATTGTAAATTAGCGCATTTACAATTACAGATCTGAATGCAACACATGGGTAAAAAGTTAGTGGGTAGAATACCTTTTGATATTTAACACAACATACAGGATATAGCACAGCAGCATCTACTCTCTGCTCAGGGATGTTACTGTGCACAGGAGAGTCCTTTTGAGGCAGGAAATTTCTGGCACTTTTCACTTTGCCAGCAGGTGAGAGCAATCCAAATCAGCCTCTCTGGCTTCCTTAGTTCACATTCTGCTGATAAAAACCAAGCTGTGTAAAGAGATCAGGTGTAATCTGGAGTCCTTCTGTAAAACACGTCTGCTGACATGGAGATGGCACTCGCATAAAAACAGTTGGAGCTTAAACAGCACTCTGCTCTACAGAGTACTCTCCACGGATTGCATGCTCTGCATGTTGGGCGTTAATTATAGGGTTGGTCTTAAGTAAATAATGAGAAAATTCCAGCTTTTGTATTCATTCAATAGAAGTCATCTAGCTGCTCTGTGATAGGGTGGTAGAACCGACAATTTGTGGATCTTTGTTTTGAAATAAAATTATGCTTTTGATGGATGCTTACTTAGCTGTGCTCTTTTCTACAGGCAATGTACCTGTTTCTACACACAGTGAAGGGCACTCCCTTTGAAACCCCAGACCAAGGAAAAGCTCGTCTACTCACACACTGGGAACAGATGGACTATGGTGTCCAGTTCACTTCTTCACGCAAGTTCCTCACCATCTCGCCGATTGTTCTGTGAGTATAGTTGCTGCTAAAATGCAAACGGTGTCAGTTGTGCCGCATGATGTTTCACTTTCATTTTGACGAGCCAATCAAACCTGCTGGTAAATTTATAAATTGTTTCCTTGAATGGTTTTATACCAAAGAAAAGCCAGTGTGCTGACTGATTGGAATATTCAGATCATATTAAAGTGGGGGAAAATTTTGGGGAAAACCAGGAGCAGGGAGCCTAAAGATCCTGCCAGCACCTTGGTGAAGTAGGAGATTCTACAGCCAATAAGAAGCAGAGTTAAGAGATATTTGTTTGAAATTAAAATGTGTTGCTCCAGAATCAGTCACATAAATCAGCACAATTACTGACATTTTGGCAAAAATATGTAAAGAAAACTTTGAAGAATTAAGCTTTTAATGCAGAACTACAATGTTTTTCTCTCAGCCATCTATTTCTTTCATTATTATAGTCTTATTGGTGTCTAAAAAGGAGAGTAAAGATCAAATGAAATAATTCAGTCTGTGGGAAAAGTTACTCAGTTCAATTTAGTTTCTTTGTATAGAGCCAATTAACAACACATGTAATCTCAAAGCACTTTACAGAGATAATTAATTCAGATCAAGCAGTCAGATTGGTTCAAAGTTTTCTATCTAAGAAAAACCAGTTGATTGCATCGACTCATTGACTCAAAGACAATCCCTCACACCAAGCATGCTTGTAGCGACAGTGGAGAGGAAAACTCCCTTTTTAAAAGGAAGAAACCTCGAGCAGAAGCAGGCTTAGTGTGAGCGGCCATCTGCCGAGGCTGACTGGGGTTCAAGGAGATGGAGGCACTTAAACTAAGAAATAAATTCTTAAACTCCTAAAATTTTGGTTTTGTCATCATAGTAAAACATTTGGATGGAGGCCTGAAAGCTGCAGAGATTTTCTTATACTGTTGTATATATTTGTAAATTTGCTCTAAAAGCCTGTTTGCTGAACAGGTTAAATCTTCACCCTCAGCTCCTTTGATGCTAATAGCTTTCTTAACAACCCTCCACAGCTGCTAAATGTATGACACTAATACGTATGACAATATTAATAATCATACCTTCCTCATTGGTTAGCTGGATAGCACTCAGTCTTTCCCAAAACGTTCAACCAGTTTGGACCAGACTGAGGGCCAGTGTTTACCCAGACATCCCTCTCCTCAGAAAACTTCCCATTTCAGCCAATTGTATTTGGGATCTCATTCTTTCAGATTTAATGACCATAGGTCAGTGGCTCCCAACTCTGGTCCTCAGGGACCCCTGCCCTCCATGTTTTAAATAAGTCGTTGTTCCAGCACTACTGAGTCAAATTATGGCTCCTCCTCTGCAAACAAGTAATGCAGAAACCTGAAATCATTCTTTCTTTTCTGGTGTGATGCAACAAGAAAACACCTAAAACATGCAGGGCAGGGTCCCTTAGGAACAGGGTTGGGAATGACTTCCATAGGGCAAGGTAGGAACATAGACTGACTGGTAAATCAAGAGCTTTGCTTTTCACCTCCATTCTGTCTTCAACAGACTGGGAAAGCATCTGCAGACCCCCATGAGCTCTTGGCAGCACCTAGAAATTGTTTTAAGAACAGACTTTCAACAGAGGGCCTGTGGGATCCCCCTTTAGATAGGATCACAACATTTAACTACATCTATAACACATGATCCTAAAATATGGGAAAATACATCCAAGTGTCAATTTCCTGCTCACTAAAGGAAAAAAATGAATACACATCCTGTCCTGTAGAACACATTGGGCGTTTGGGTAATCTATCCCATGTGGGCAGCTCTAGGTTTGTTTTTACACCTGGCATTCAGACGCCCCCCCACAGGTGTGCTGAGTTACCTGCTCTATGCAAACCAGCAGACTCTACGTCACAGACTAAACAGAAGCAGCAGAAAGGATGTCATAGAGACACTTTTGGTGTCTGTAAAACCAGGAATACATTTCACAACTAATCTTTCTTTAAAATATGTGCATTCAAAGCTACTAATAGATAGATCAGTCAGCTCAGTTATCCAACCAAATCTGAGGGGAAAAAGAAGCTTTAAATCGCTTAAAGTGAATAATAATGAGAATAATGGTACCTGTTTGATTCATAATTAAATTAGCTTTTTAGTTACCGGTAAGTAAATTAAAAGATGGTGCAAATTTTTTATTTCCTTATTTACCCAAATGAAAACCCTAATCAGATCAAGTTCTCATTTGCAGGGAGGGACATAGGCAGAAATCTGCAGCAAACAAAAGTTTAAAAGAAAATACAATCAAAATGGATATAGAAAATAAAGCAAATAACTAAAAAAGCTGCTTATTTATAAGAATGGTTCGAAATATTATGAAACAAAGAGTTCAGACTGGAGATGATTTCAGAATGCTAAATGTCTGTTTTTGTTTAAACTCATGGAAAAAATTAAAAAGGAAATGGAGCAAAAACAGTAGGCCGTGGTACATTTTTGTAGCATTAAAGTATAAAGCAGCCTAGAAAAGAATAGTTTTATAAATGCAAGACATCAGAGGAGTCCGACCAGCTTTTGGTATAGAGATGCATGAGACGTCTGCAGCCTGATGATGCAGTATTCAGTGACTGAAGGCATTTAGCCGTAATCTAGCAGATCCAAAGAGGTAGCTGGGACCATATTTTGTTGCTAGAAAGGGAAATGGGATCCATTTCAGCACTTAAAAAAAGGAGAGCTCCTAAAAGTAGCAGCAAACTCAAAAGTAATAAATGGAGACAGCCTTCAGAAATTGAATAATACCATGGCTTTCATTTTCCACATTCAAAAGCAATTTAATCGTTTGTAAACACCTGTGGTAGTAAAGAAGAGCAGCAATAGATTAGCAAGTCATCTGCATAAAAGTGACATTTGAGGCATTTGAGAAAATTGCAACATATATGATGTATATCAATAGAAAATAAAAAAAAATTAAGCAAATGCTATTTTCTTTAGGTTAAAACTTCCTCTTTTAGCTGGATTTAATTGGATGGACCATAAGAGAGAAGTAAAAAACTTTTAAGTTAAAAGGATACCAAATAAAAATCCATCACATATAAGGCGCATTTTATACTAAGCCCTGTTATACATTTTTATTAGCAAATCTGTGCCAAATTTAGTTGTACCGGTAACTGCAAAGACTTGACAAAGTGATCTGCTTATAAGCAGAGACCCAGACAATAAAAATGCATTTTTTGTAAACTGTTGTACATGAGCTAATTCTAGTTCCAAACCATTTAATGCTGATGTTTTTTTCTCTTCGCAGGTACATTCTGGCCAGTTTCTACACAAAATACGATGCAACGCATTTTTTAATCAACACGTGCTCTCTGCTGACTGTCCTCATCCCAAAGCTGCCCCAGCTTCACGGAGTACGGATATTTGGCATCAACAAGTACTGATGCACCGTTAAAAAAAAGAAAGAAAAACTGGGACTTTATCCACAAAAACTGGACTTGAAGTTCTCGGCTCCTGCTGAACTGTTTTTGTTTTTTGAGTAAAAGGTTGAAGGAGAGGAAAAAAAACAGCTGGGAGGACTCTGAAGGTCACAGCCTGAAAAATCTGAATGCACTGTTTCTTCAAAGTAAATATGTTCTGATAGTAAAATAAGATCTAATGCTTGTGTTTTTGAAGGTTTAAACTGCACCAGTTTAAGTTGGTGATGTTTAATTTTTTTCTTTTTTTTTTTTATTGTTGCACCGGCTGCAATTATAAAAAGCAAAGTTTGTTGCCGTAATTATAAATGAATCGGTTCCTTTTCTACTCAATCCAGTATGCAATCATACGCCTACAATAAACTCTTATTACAATACACAGAAATAAAACCACATGCTTATCATTTTAGAAGAAAAATGCTCCCTCTAAAAACAGGACTGCCCATCTTTTAGAGTCCACTTGGTCCAGGTAAACAAGTTTGTCTGGATGTTCAAAGCAATCCACTGGACCCACGTAGGTCAGCTTGTAACTCTGGGGAAGTCCAGACACTTTACATGAGGGGGCTGTCACAGAGTACTCCAATTGCTCGTATATCTGAGGGGTTCCCCCCCTTCCGTATTCGATAGTCATGTTTGCATTGGAGCCAGGGTTTCCCTGTTTGAAATGCGCGTTTCGGGGAAGTAGTTCAAAGGAAATACAGCGCTGCGTAAATGTTGACTATGTCAAGTTTAGCCTGGGAAATACATGCAAATAACGCTCGCTGTATCAGCTGTTTTCAACCTGTGGAGTAATCACGTGTTTTCATTTGGAGCGGCGTTATTGGGTTGTTCCTGCGTGGACATCCAATAGACACGCACGGAAAGAAAGAAACCAAAGGTGGGATTCTCCTCGCAGTTGGATGGAAATCTCACGTCATCCCCAAAAAGTCAGATGGGGGAGAGTCAAAGACAAAGGATAAATATGAGGTTTTCCTTTCCTTTTCAAATATATCGAGTGCTGCTTGATGAAAGATATGATCTGGAAATTTGTTTTGCTTTTTTTATTATTGGTTCCGTTTCTGCTTCAAGCATTCTAACAGTCATGCTGACATGCAACTATTTTTTTGAGATTAAAAAGATTGCGATGACAGTCATTTTTCTGTTAACGTTCTGAATCAAAGTTACACAGAAAGATAAAGATGTCCCAAATTATTAATACGTATTAAAAAGGTCAGAAGCCTCGATTGAAATCTTTTCATGCAACTTTTTTTTTTAAATTAGGGTAAAATGATAAAAATCCTCAACCAATACTGGGAAATCAACACTCATCCCCTCCAATTGCTCTCAATATCTGATAACTTTTGATACATTTCCAGTAAGCAGCACATAACTTAAAGCTTACATGACTAATTTATTTGTAGCTCTGATGCTTTTTGAATTCTCCGTCTCATTCAGCATGTTATGACAATGCACTATTTGTTCATGGAACACTGAAAATAAAAACAAGAACTGGATGCCCATGCTTGCATTTATTTTGGTGTTCTAATTAAAATTCCTCAGACTTAAATCACCTCCATACAGTACAGTACAGAACGCAGAGTATCAAAATACTAGAAAATACAATTATACCGGATCTTAAAATCAGATCATTAAAATAAATGGATTTATACCTACAGGAACAATTTTTCTTTTTAATCAAATTTTCCCAAATCTGCAAAGGAGATACATCCAGAAGGAAATAACTTAAAGGGTGGTCCTGTTTCACCACTATTTGCTTTACGCTCAGAATTGAACAAGACTTGTAAAGGTGATTGAGGTCCCTAAGGTTTATTTTAGCAGACGGTTTTAAAAGTGAGAACAGACTTAGTAAAAAAGAACAGAGCGTATGCATAGAAGGGGAATTCACATTAAAACAAAACTTTCAATAAAAATATCCACCAGCCGGTTTTAGCCAGTTTTTTTAGTCATCAATTGTTGTTCCAAGGTCTTTGTAATCACTTGAAATTGGTTGTGGTTACATTTTGTTCCTCATGAGGTCCATAACCTTTAATTTTGTTTTCGAGACGTCAGTCTTTAAATGTAAGATCTGACACCAGTCAGATAACTCCCCAATGAAAGTGAAATATGTTGCTCAGGTTGACTGTGACAGGCATCAGTGTACAAGATGAAAAGGAAAAGTTACAAAACACACCTGGGGAGGCCCAGTGGTGGGAAAAGAAAAAAAAAAAGGCATACAAAAGGACCTAATTTACCTTCATTTGTTGATAGCCAATTGTTAAGAAGTTATTAAGCCAACAAATCAGACCAGAAATAGAATTGAAGTAATCAGCTTCTCTGCTAGAATTTGACAAATGTTTGTATGTCTGTATGTGACTTAAAGTCTCAGATAAAAACATACTTTCATTCTCTGATGTGCTTAAAATAGGCTGTGATTTTATTAGACTAAGGCTTAACCTTGACTGCCTTCCTTTGGTTGCTAACAATAAGCCTTTGGAATAACTCTGGTTGAATATTTGACAAATCTTCTTGGCAGATTTGGTAGAGTTCATTTGAAATGGATGGTTCCTTAAAGGATAGCGCACCAACTACAAACTGTTTCCTTTAAATTCAGGTCTAGGGTTTTCCAAAGTCAATGGAGTCCTTTCTCCATCACAAAAAAACCTTTTTATGTAAAGGATTAATGTCAAGTAGCTGCAGTCAGGCAAACTTGGTGATTATAAATCACTAAACATTCATGCAACAGAACCTCCAGATGGACTCAGCCAACGTCATGCTTGGGGGAGTGTTGGCTTAGTGGTTAGAGCAGTGTGCCTGTGCTCTGAGAGGGTTGCAAGTACCTGGTTTCATCCCCACAGCCCACACCACTCCCCGGGCACACTTCTATGTTTGTCAGTGAGTAGATTTCTAAGCGTTGAAAGCTTTATCTAGACTCTTCCAAATTCAATTAAAAAATAATTTATCATTTCCAAAGGGAAATTGAATTATATACCTCTGTTAATATTCAAACATCATCTGGTCTATCTATGAAGCTTCCCCAGTTAGTTTATGCAGCTGCAAATTTCAGTTAATCTCAGATGAGCAGTAGTCGCGTTATAGGTTTCAGCCTGTGAGCCTATCGAGAAAATACCCGGTATGTTTGGTTCTGATGAATGCGACCGTTTTATTTCACCTTAGGGTGACACTTTGGGTTGGATGGTTGAAGCTTGTACAGCAGATATGCGTGAGAATAGGACAAACATCCCAAACACAGACAACCTTCATGTTGAAAATTTGTGAACTAGCCTTTAAATTCAGACATAAGTCTGACTTTAATAACTTTAATAGATTTGAAAGTATCTATTTCTAACAAAAAAGAAGGAAAAATACTTGTTTATGATTAACAATAAAGTGAAGGATTTAATTTGTGAAAACCCTTTCATCAAAAGTTTAGGGAGTTTAAAAATATATCAACCTTAAGTCTTGTACAGTTTTTATCCATTTGATGTGTATGTAAACCTCTGAGTATGAAGCTGTGCCGTTTAAAGTTGTAAAGAGGAAATTCCAAAGATTTACATTCTTCCTATGGGGTTGGAAAGTATCGGTTCATGGTCATGCTACCAATAACACTAATGACCTTTTTTATTTAACAGAGTGTCTTTAGGTTCTGGTTGATTTGACCTTTTCCTTTCCTTTTTTTTTATTTGTAGGCATTCATAAGCAACAATGTCAGCCCTGTGGATCGTGTTTGGCATTTTATGATTGATACATAAACAGATGTGGGAATTTAGATTGATGTGCAACAATAGATTTTATACATGAATCATTAACACCAATTTACAATCCACACTATAAAATGTTTAAATATGTGAGGTGGCAAAGTTATTACAAAGAGAAAACTTACTGTGGTGGTTACTGTTTGCACAGATCGTTGAGATGTTAATAAAGCTTAAATAGGATCCACCTGTTTTAAATTCAGTTCATGGGGCACACACCCGTCTATATAAGGTTACATTGTTGATGGTGCATATCAGGGCGCAAACACCAAGCATGAGGTCAGAGGATTTAACTGGTGTCCTTTGAGACAGGAGGCACAAATCTAGGGAAGGATCCATAAACATGTTCTACTGATTTGAAGGTCCCAGTAGATTCAGCGGCCTCCATCTTTTGAGAATGGAAGAAGTCTGGAACCAACCCAAATCTTCTTAAAGCTGGTGGTCTGGTTAAAATGAGCAGATGGGGAGAAGGGCTTTGGTCAGGGAGGTAAACGAGAAGCCCATTATGACTTTGCCAGAGCTACAGAGTTCCTCTGTGGAAAGAGAACCTTCCAGAGGAACAAGAGACAGCCTGCATGGAAGAATGGTTGACAGAAGCCAGTCATTGAAAGGCACAAGGCAGCTTGTTTGACAAAACACTCCAGACAGACCCTCAGGCCAGGAGAAACTGATGATACAAATATTAAACTATTTGTTGAGAATGCCAGGTGTCATGTTTGTAGGAAACCACCATACCTATAGTGAAGCATAAATGGACCTTTGTCAGCAGAAGGAACTGGCAGACTAGTTAGGATAAAGGAAAAAAATAAATGCAGCAATGATCAGAGACACCCTGGATAAAACTCTGCTTATGAGTGACCCAACGCACACAGTTAAGGTCTGTAAGGAGTGAAACAAAACCACTCTGTAAATGTTCTGTATAGGCCAGATCTGAATCTGACTGAAGGTCACTGGAGAGATCTGAAAATGGCCGCAGAGACGTCTCACTTCCAACCTGATGGAGCTTCACGTGTTCTGCAGAGAAGAACGCACCGAACCGCTAAAGCTGCTGGCATCAGGTTATAAATGATGAGGCTGTAATTGATACCAAAGGTGGACGTACAAAGTGTTAACAAAATGTTAGAATAATTGTTTTTTTGATTTTCCTAGTAATCTAAAAAAAAGTTTATTTTTCCCAAAATCCCATTTATATTTTTTCACCAAAAATAGGATATTTTGTGAAGATTATGTTATACTATTAGGAACTAAATGCTTTAAATACAATCCAGATGACCCGTATCAGAAACACAATTAAAGGAAATTTATGGAATATTTTAGGATTTGTAAATAATCAAAAATATAATTCCAAGTTTAAAAAGCTTTGCTTAGCGTAATGATACCGACACACAAATAAAAAATATTTTTTTATTCAAAATATCTTGGGATTGTTCCACACACACATGTCCAAAAACATTGATAACAGAAGGATTCACAAGCCTCATCGTTCTTGTGAAATAACAGTTACATAAATATAAAGCTGTTGTTCAAGGGTGTCAGTGTGGAGAAAATGTAAACTGGATCCTTTCTTTTTAGTTGATTCAGAGCCAAAGGGTTGGAAATAAAATTTTGGAAAAGTGCAACCTCACTTATGGATAAAGAAACTCCCCATATTACAGCTCATTCATTCACAACTAAAGGGTTGACCTGCTAAAGAATGTATGTGCCTCAAAGTGCACCGTCTTTCTGACTCACAAAGCTCATCTCATGGTTCCAGGTGTGATGGTTCTGGGTGGAATCCAGTCCACAGATTCCCTCCATCAAGTCTACATGTCGACCTGGACGTCTGCAGCGAGAAGTTCTTCAACCTGACCTCCTGAGAGACAATAACAGTTTTATCTCACTCCAGCTTCATCATCGGCTCGAGTTTTTCTTCCTCGTCCTCGTCGTCTGTGTCAAATAACTCGTCCTCGAAAAAAGTTCCTCCAAAGCCGTATTCCTGTGTGTGGATGGACACCTCGTTTGGCATCAGGTGGGGGGAGCCTTCGATGAAATCAGCAAACCTGTTGATTATGGAGACCATATACATTTAGACTGGTTCTGCTTGAGTCGTTTACCTTCTGACCAAAGCTTGCTCAGGATCAGGATTACGGAAGCAACTGATGTTTTTGTGTTGCTTTATAATCAGTGTCCAACTAGAATTTATAGGACTAGATTAAGTTTGATTGATTAGATTGTATATGAATAGGAAACATTTTTATGGCAGGGGGCCTTGAGGTGACCATTGCTGCCAGTTCTCATGTTAAAGAAAATTCTCTTTGCAGACACTGTTCAACCATCTGTACTTCAGTTATAACAAAGGGCCAACTTGGTGAAACAAATGTTTTTCCAGCGCCACCATATTAGATAATGCTTTTAAGCAGATTTATTCCATTGTTATAGTAGCTGGTCGGTGCTGATACTTCAGTACTATCAATCATTGTCCTTGTGTTTTTGCTGTCTGAATGACATTAAGGGCATTTTTAAACACATAACTGAGATTCAAAGCAAGCAGAAAAGAAAAAAACTGCTGTTTCTCAACAACCTTCAAAATCCAATATGGCCGCATTAGATTGGGATATATATATATATATATATATATATATATATATATATATATATATATATATATATACAGTGTAAAAATTTTTGAGTTGAAATTTTTGGGTTGAATATTAATCACCAAATGTAAGTTTTGACCTCATATACCCATCAAAATCAAAGTCCGCACTTCAAGTAGTTGTTCC